ACTCTAAATGTCTAGACGCATTACATGAGTATTAGTTGAATAAATCGAAAAACAATCATATTTTATACATTCATTCCATCTAATGCAACAATAACTGTGCCATAAAATATCCAATAGGCAGTTGGTGTGAAAACAGCACATAAGTCCTTTTTTTGAAAATAACTTATATTTACTCAAAAAATCAATTAATAAAGCCATGCATTTTTTGAAAAAAATATTACAGTGCTTATAACCAAAAACAACTTTTCAAGAAAAACGCAGTTAAGGAGGATAGAGACCCGAACATAACCTCAAAATTGAAAAGGGTTTTTAATCCAAACAAAAATTTAATAAAAATTCATCTCTTAATATATTGAAAAATTGCAGTGCAAACATGTAGCAAGTTTGGTGCAAGCAACAAAATGTCCTCTTGTGGCAAGGTAGTTAAGCAAACTTGCAGCGAACTTGCAAAAAGCTTGCTGCAAGCTTGTATAATACTAAAAAAAATTTTTTTTCGAAACAATTTGTTACTAAATGAACATAAAGGGCACCCTGCTTTAGAGGTTAAAAAATGTATTGCGCAGCCGTAGAAACTTCCGTTTACAACTGCGCATCATACTAAGTTTTGCAAACTTGCAGCAAGCTTGCGCCAACGTTGTCCTGCAAGCTTGCCATAAGAGAACATTTTGTTGTTTGCACCCAACTTACTACATGTTTGCACTGCAATCTTGCACATCTTATACGACAAGCTTCCTGCAAGTTTGCAGTAAGTTTTCGTGTTGATTAGATAGTTATGGTTACTGCTTCCATATCCAATCCGTGATTAAAAAGAACGCGACGATCATACGCAATACATACAATTAAAATAACGTCGTTAGAATACCTTAAATAAATACCATATCTATAGTTTAACAATAAAATACGGCTCCCTCATCAATTATTGTATATTATGAAACCTCTTCCATACTAAAAGTTACCTCTTCCATTAAATTGGATAATTGATAAATAAAACAATAAAATTAATAAATATTATTTTATTTTATGAATCTGTATTTAAAACAACATTTTATAAAATGAAAATGAAATAAAAGTTGAAAAAAATTATTTGAATAATTGTTTCGTTTACTCTCTAAATCTGAATTAGTAAAAATGTTTACTAATTTAAATTAGTGACTCACTTTTTGCTTATGAATTAGTAAAATTTTACTAATTCAGATTTAGAGAATAAAAAATGTCATAAAATGCTATAAATGTATTTTCACTAGTTTTTTAAAAATTTTAAATATGATAACCAGGCCTGGCCTTGGTCGGGCCCATAGAAATTTACTAACCCGGGTCCAGAACAGGAAATCGGATCAGGGCCAGGTCGGTAATCGGGATGAAAAGTGTCAATTTCTGCACGGGACTAAATAAAATAAGCTACTGTTGATAAAAATTGCGATTTTTGTCTGTTATAAAAAAAGGTCAAAATGTTAAAAAAAAAATAACAATAAATTTTAACTCAACATAATTTTTTCCGAAAGTGTATAACTAGATCATCTAAAAATGTTCAAAATTTATTGCATTTTTTTTTCATTACAATCATTTTTCAGTTTTGAGGTTATGTTAGGGCCTCCATCCTTTTTAAAGTATATGTACTATAGTCTATAATGTTGTTGCAATAACTTAAAACTCATTACTTGGGGATTTTCGGGGAAACTGATTACGAATCCAATATGTCGGATTTTTTTAAAGTTTATCAAATTGAGCGTCCCAATTCCATAACTTGTTCGATGCTCAGACGCACGCTCTGTTGGTAGTCGGGTAGCAGTAAGCGGCAATGGCTCTCCCACTGCTACTCAACTACCATCAGAGCGAGCGTCCGAGCGACGAACGAGTTATAGAATTGGGACGCTCAATTTAACTAAATTATTCACTTACAATCAATATTTTTCATTTTTAATTGCAAAAAATGGAAAATGTTGGTTGCGTAAAAAATCAATTTCTATCATTTTTTTTTCAAAAGAGGTACGATTTATCACAAGATTAGTCCTACTTAAATATATTATTGTTATGTAAATGGATATATTTCTTATTCCAATCTAATTTACAGTAACTCAAAAAGATTATTTCGGGACGCATGTATAAGCTCAAAAACAAATTTGTTAGAAGTTATATTTGATAGAATTTTAATCAGCAGAATATTAATTTGCAAGAAAGTCAATTTAATCAAATTTTAATTTGGTAGAAAATCAATTTGATCGAATTTTAATTTGACAGAAATTCAATTTGGTCGAATTTAAATTTGCCAGAAATTAAATTTCACCGAATTTAAATTTTCCCGAAACGTTGTTTTTTAGAATACTAATAGTGCAGAAAAACAATTTGACAGAAATCTACTTTACCAGAATGTATATTTGTTCGAATATTAATTTCCCAGAAAGATAATTTGACCGAAAATTAATTTGGCAGAATTCCAATTTGATCGAATTTTAATTTGACAGAAAGTCAATTTCATCGAATTTTAATTTGTCAGAAAATCAATTTAATCGAAATTTATATTGTGCGAAACGTTTTCTCAAAGAATTTTAATTTTGCAGAAAGGTAATTTAATAGAATCCTAATATAGTGAGAATCAAAATTTGACAGAAATTTACTTTACCAGAAAGTATATTTGCAAATTAAAACATTACTCTCTAAATTTGAATCAGTGAAAAAGTCACTGGTCTCAAGTCAGTCGCTAAATTCTAGCTATTTGAATCAGTAACAATTCACTGATTTTCAGTCAAAGTAATTGATTCTCCAGTGAAATGTCACTAACTGTCAGTGAAAACCACTGATTCAAATAGCTAGAATTTAGCTACTGATTTGAGAGCAATGACTTTTTCACTGATTCATATTTAGAGAGTAATGTATTAATTTGCAAATACTTCAAAAATTACCACTTGTATGTAAAAAATTGTAAATATTAATTTTGTAAAGAACAAAATTACTTCCAAACTTTGTTTGAAAAATTTTGTCATACATTTATTAACTTTCATTTAGGTATAATTGAAAAAATGGAAAATGTTGATTGTAAAAAATAAATTTTTAGCACTTTTGGAAAATTTAGTTCGAATTATTGCCAAATTCCGCTTAATGAAATATATAAAGAGATTGTAAAGATGAATAATTTTGAATTTAACTATTAAAGCGTTTGCCCAAGCATCAGTTTAGTTATTTGATCGGGACCTTCAATTAATGAAAATTATTTATTTATAAGAAAAACATTTTAAATGTTTCCTGAAAAAATTTAGTTCTTCAACTAATACCGTTTCTGTATTAACTGCATCATATATTTGTATATCATAAAAGTTGCAAACATCTTATTTTTTATTAAATAAATTACCAGAACGAATTTACACTTTGAAAACAAATTTTATGAAAAGAAATCCCTTTGGTTTATAAACGAAGGTGGACGCATGAGAGTTATTTAAGCTTTAAAATTTTCAAGTTCTGCTTTGTAGGTAGAACTGGAAATATAGTATAGTAATACATAGTACTTTTATTAAGTTTTCACATTTGCGCTACACATGTTGAAATAAATTTTATGGTTCATTCATGCAGCACCGTTCTATACTGATTGTAAAAACTACCTGAAATGGTCAAAAAGGAAACTATTTCCTTAAATAAAATTTTAAAAAGCCAAAAATAATTATTTTTTACTTTTATAAACTTGACAAATATTCGTTTTAAAAATAATAAATGACACATTTTAAGGGTGCTTTTCAAAAAGGAAAAATCATTTATAAATTTGGAATCTTAAAACGTTACTCATTTACGAATGCCTTTAAGAATGTAGAAAGTTACTAATATTAAAGTCTGAAAAATAATTTTGAGCAAGTAAATGTTACTTTTAATTTTTAGAGCCGCAGTCGCCAGACTAACCAACACTTATCGTAGATCTAAAAGAATTAAAGTAGTAATCTAAAAGAATTAAAAGAATTTTGATGTTAAATATCGAAATTCGTGTGAACCCCTGTAGCGATATTTCGAGGACGATTTAAAAGGTTACCGGTGTAAATAATTCGAAATGTCTCAAGTTTAATCTGGGATTGTCTCGTTATTGTGGCCAATCGTGAAGGAGAGGAGTGGAAAGAGATATGGTCCGACTGAGAAGTGAGGGGAAAAGAGGTCTCATGCTCCCGGCTAATAAAGAATTTATGGTTCTCGTTACCGGTACGGTTTCTACGAATTAACGTCGATTGCCGTGTACACACACCACGGTAAAAACGTAAAAACTAGATAGCGAATTCATGAATAACTTAAAACAGTTTCGACGCACCTGGCCTCGTCTCGATTATAACATGGCCTCTTGTAACAAAGATGGTCTTCTTTTCGAAAAGTCTATTTCCTTATTTACAACATTTTAATTTTATATATTATCCGAATTAATTGAACTAATAATTCAGGGTTACGTTAAACAATTTCAAGTATGATAAAAAGCAGTCTGCTATTCTTCTTAGACACAAAGGTATTTCAAAATGAGACATTTTCTAAACCAATCATTAGACCATAACAATTAGCTAAAATTGGTTCAACATTGGTCGCCAGCAATCGGCCTCTAAAGTCAACTTGCCAGAAGCGCTATTGAATTGGTAAATTAATATGAATAGCATACTAGAAAGCAATTCGAAGGCAAATGCATTAAAATATTTTTTGATACATACATCTGTAAATATCGAAATGACGTAAGAAGTTGAAAGTCTAAGAGGGAGGAGCAAATAAGAGGTACATACCTACTTTTGTGGTTATACCGACCTTAGTAGCACATAAATCTACCGCATCCAAATATACGTTCCCGTGTAATATAGTATACATATATAGTTTCATCTTTCTTGGACGCGGAACATCGACATACATACCACATTTATTTTCTTTCTTTAATCCTAACTCTCCTTTGTTTCTGTATTCTTCTTTTTATACCTGAAAGTTGAATTGTAGGGATAAAATTATTGGAAATACATATATGTAAGGTATATTATTATTTATTCAGACCCTCTTTCTCATGGCATGTGACATTAATAGCGACATGTAATTTTCACTTTTTTCATGTGCTGCTTTTAAAAAATTTCATTAAATTCATCCTTTGACCCGAATCACACCAGATTGCATTTTAATGCATAAAAACTTCTTTTTAGCACACCGACAACATAAGTATTATTTTAGAGACGGAGACTAAACCTGTAGAGATAAAAATACAGGCCTTAACTGAAAACCTACATCCTGCTTTTTTGGTATTTAATATAAAATTTTAGGCGATTTTAGATAAATTTCTACCAAGTTATGCTTAAAATTAATTTAGAAATCAAACTTTTGGAAAATATTTCATTTTTATTTTTTAAAATGAATATTATTAAACTGTATGAAACTTTCAAAGTAGATCCTATTGTCATAAGAGTACTAAACAGAATCGTTATAGATTTGGACTGACTAATGTGTTGTCGAATTCACTACATGTACCATTAATTATTATTTTTATTAATTAATTAAATTATTAATAAACTAACCAGTTTATTATTCAGCCTATTATTCTATTTTGTTGTAAATAAAAGAAATCCACTTCAAATATTTTCATTTTTATTATTTTCAGCAGGTGGCAACCGAAACCTATAACCAAAAGAAACGACTTTTTAAGTAACCGATACTGTAATTTTTTAATAAGAATACGAAAACGTAAACATTTTAATGACATACCAATGAGTAAAATCACCGAACTGTAGATCTACTAAAGGGCGAAAAATCCGCAGCGAACTAGCGAATAAGCGACTGTCGCTATACAGCTGAATTTTTTCAGCAAAATTATAACAACAAAGTCAAGATTTCAAACAGCACTAACGATTTTTTGAAATCTATTACCATACAATTTTTATAAACAATCCTTAGATTTAATACATTTAACAAACAGGATGGAGGCCCAAACACAAACTCAAGACTGAAAAATAGTTTTTAACGCAAAAAAAATGTAATTTAAATTAATTTCAAACAATTTTATAAGAACTAGTTGCACACTTTTTGGAAAAAATTATATTGACTTAAAATCTTGTGTTAAATAATTATTTTTTAACAAATTTAATTTTTTTTCTTTCAGCTTAGAATTGCTTCTATTTGTCGTTAAGCAAGATTTATTCGTACATTCGATATGTACCTCAAGTTCTGATCGTACAAATTAACGAAAAATTTGTTTACTATATTTTTAATTTCAAATTTTATTATAAAATATCGTTTTCTGTATGAAAAAATAAATTAATAATTTATTAACTTTTTTTATTTTTCATTATTGTATTAATTTTTAAAAATTTATAAACCAAAGAAATGATTTCATATTCATTTGAACGTTCAGAACTTCTGGCTCATTATTCGATTCAATTCATAACAATTGGTTTGCGTTTGCTGGGTGAGCTTATTTTATTCAGTGACACATTATCTACTACAATCATAAACTTTTTTCAATAGTTAAAAATATGTTGTTAAAAAATTATAAACAATACAAATTTTATTTACTAGATAATTTTTTTACAACTGAAAAAAGTTTACAATTGTAGAGAACTCTTTTAATCTGAATCTAAGTGAAAAGTGGGTCACTGATTTAAAATTAGTGAAATTTCACTGATTCAACTAATGATCTTCACTGAAAATCAGTGAAAAGTGAGTCACTAAATTGTAAACAGTGAAGATTCTCACTGATTCATATTACGAGAGAATGTTTATGATTTTTGTCTGTTCTGAAAGAAAAAATTCAAAATGTTTAAAAATAATTAAAACATTTTAACTTAACTCAATTTTTTCTGAAAGATATAATTCTAAAATTATTTGAAATTAATTTTTATTACATTTTTAAGTTTTGAGGTTATGTTAGGGCCTTTATCCTTTTAAATGGATATCCAGTTATTATGTGCATAAAATAAAAGATGCTTTATACTTAACTGTATACATATACGTATAATAATTTACCATTCTTTAAATATTTTGTTTGTTTAAAAAGAAACGTGCTCTACTGTTTTTATAGAAATTCTATTACATATAGTCAACTTGTAGAGCATATTTACAAGTATACCTAAATTGAAATTCATTAAATTTGCATGTTTATTTTTTAAAAAATCTTGTCAATAGCTATATTATACACATGTATAAGTGTGGAATTAAGAACTTATTATTTATTATATACATATACCTACCTCAAATATACTCAACTTATTTGTATGTACAGAAAAAACTTTGTGATCTGACTGTCATGCGACTACCTTAAACCGCAGGGCCGCAGGAAGTCTTTTATCTGTATTCGTGCATTAACCAATAAGTTGAATTTTCACTGTTCAACCTTTTCCAACTTAAGTCTTAAGCTCCTGTCGGAGACAATAACACATTCCACTTTATTAAAATATAATATGTGGAGAATCGAGTTTTCAGTTGTAATTTTAGTAAAATTAAAATCTTGAATTTTATTCCTTAATTAAATCACTTGGCCCTATATAATTTTCATAATATTCAAAAAAGAATTCTTAAATAGAGATCTGTTTGAACGATTTTGTTGAATTTCACAGTTTGTAGTTTTATTTTAATATATGTCAAATATCTATCACTTTTATTTAAAAATATATTATTTGCTAGAATGAAAATTATAATATTTATGTTTGATACGTTTGATATTTAACCTTAAGGGTTAGTTTATAATAGGCACATGTTAATTTCCACTGGGATTCCAGTAGAACGTCCGAAATATGCCATATCTTTATATTTTTGACACCTGCTTTACCCTGCTTTTCTCTATATTTTGGTTCCCTGCTATGTATCGAAAAAGCTACCATTCCCTGTAAAGTGTCACAATTCAGATGATCCACGGATTATTTTCTATATTGTCAATAAGACATTAACATGATTATTAACCTAAAAAATTATTTTTCGTGTGTGTATGATTGTATACTAAAAATATCTTTGTATCTTTGTTTGGAATATTTTAAAGTGTGAGAAAAAAAATTTGTTTGATATAATAAAAAAACGGTAATAAGTTTATGTCAAGACATTTGTCATTTTCTACACAGTATTTAAATAAGACTGGAAATTTAGGAACGTGTGCAACCATATAGAAATGCACAATATTGTGCTCAGTAATGTAGCTCCCAGGATAAATTCTTTTAAAATAGTTCGTTATAATCTGTAGAGAAACGTACGTAGCACGTATTTCAATTCAATAATCCTCGGATGCGGTGTGTGACTTATTTACTCTTAGAATCTGAATCAGGTAAAATTTACGTCTTCGGAAAAAAACTTAATATGTACAAGCATATTGAAGAAGGACATATCATTCGGTAATACATTCGCTTCGTATACAATATATTTTTATCTAATATAATCAGTAATATTTTAAACATTTTATTATGTTTTAAAAACATAATTTTAAATACTAATAAAATTATTCAATCAAGTTTAATTTTTTATAAATTTTTTATTAATAAGTACAAAGGGCAACCCTTTATAAAAAAAAACTATTTCTAGTTTTATTGTCACACTCGTCCATAAAATTATACATATATTGTATGCGGGGAAAAAACCCATGACACAGTAGGGTAAATTTATATTGGGATTGGAATTTTACAGCGCTATTTAAAATCGTTTTACACAGTATTGTAAATTTACAATCTTTTATTTCTAACCTCAAAATTATTAATATTGACAAACTGAGGGCAGTAAAATTATATAATTTTGTAACAGAATCTTGTAATTCTACTATTGAAATATGTAGTAAATTTAAAACCTAACCTCAATTTTGTGTCAGTATTCGAATGACAGTAGTATCACTTATAATTATGTCAGTATTTCACGATTTGTTAAAATTTTCTATAACTAAAATTATATGTACATATAACGTTTCAATTTTTGAATCATATAATTTTACTCTTTCATCAATACACCCCCATGAGATTTTCGTGGAGCTTTTTTTCTTGAAAGTTTCACCTGAGGCGGTAGAAAAAACAGTAGTTCAACTATAGTAAACGTCGGCATAATATGTATATGTATATGCTTAAATGTTGTAATTTCTGGTAGAAGACCTATATAAATCCGATCCTTGTGGTGTGGTATGGTGCTTAACAGACTTCTTCTTCTTCTTTCCTAAAACGAACGATGCGCGGTAACCACATGTTCTTATGGTCAACTTTGATTGTAAGCACACTACATAGTAACCATCAGAAAAATTTCACATTTAAGACCAATGAAAATTTTTCTTCTTTTTCACCTTACCCTTTTCTCCTATGGAAAGCATTATGTTGAATCTAAAGTTTTTCAACTTTTAAAAATATATGTATTTTTTATTAGCACAGATAAAAGTGCACTTATTCTGAAATTAAAAATTAGAATATTGTGCCATGAGCGAGAAAAAAAGTGAAATAGACGAGAATTATATTTGACACCCAATGTATTGTGTACTTACTGAAGGTATACCGAAAAGAGAGCAAAAGGAAACGGAATGCGGTATAGTTCGTCAGTTTAGGTTAGGGTCCGGGGTAGTTTGACTTCACTGGTCTGATGCAGCAAACAGAGTAGTGTTGTTTAACTTAGAAAAAGAGAGAGGACCACAATATATGTGAGAGCGAGAGGAACTGTGGGTAAGAAAAAGAGAAATGTATGGTCTGGACTATCGTAATCCCAAAGGAGGGAGGAAGATGCTGAATGATGGAATAGAAAATGATAGCAAGTATAGGAATTCTGTAAAGTGGGTTCAGAGACTGCCAGCAAGAGTGACGAGGGTATGATGTTCATTTGAATATCCACCCGCAGGTATAATATGTGTTTTCACTATGTCACATCGTCTACTATTTTTTTCTCTTAAATACTTAATACTATTAAGTTAGTATATGTCTATTGATACATTTCAAATATATTGTGTCTGATCAGTAAAGTGAAAATAAAAATTTACACAACATTGCACCAATGTTGCTGTGCAAGGTTCGAAATATTAAAACCAAAATCATATCTAAACAGCACAGAAATACGAAGGTGCCTTTTACAGGACGTGATTGTTGTTTCCACAGATCTTTTGTTTTCAGTTCTACACAAACTTGCACCAAAAATAATTTGGTAGGGTAAGTGTATGAATTACTGCTGATGCGCCAATTACTGCGATTTTTATAAAATTAGTAAAACTTAGTAATTGAGAACATAAAACTATTTCAAAATGACTTTAAAACTTATTCCAAATGATATTTGATATTATATCCACTATGCATATTTCGACTATTATCAAATTATTTATTCAAGTTACAATTGAACCTATCACAGTAATTAGAGCATGCGTATATTTTTTTCATGCTGCTATTACTGTGGTCTATTCAGTCAACCTAACCTCTAAATCAACACTTTTAGCGTTGCAGTAATACCAGCATATGCCATTTTTAAAAAAGTTAATATTTTTAATAATATATTTGTTATTTCTTCAAGTTTAAAGTATCATCGTTTCTATTTTAATAGACACTAATAGTGATTTAACAAAAAGAATTAAATCATTATTTCATTTACATTTTTATTATTTTATCATTAAAGTCGGTCTCGGGTTGTACATCACAGTAATTGGGACATTTACCCTACATTTTACCAAAATTTTGCCAAGTGCAAGGGTTTGTTGGAAGGTTTACTATAACCATCATTGTTAAATTCCCAGTAAAAAAATCTAACTAAAATGAATTGAAATTAATGAATGTTTGGCAGTTTAATAAAGCCTTGTCAAATTCAGGGGAATTTGTCGCTAAGTGAGATTCACCGAAGCCCTTCGTGAATTCAATCCAATCCGCGTTAACCCTTTTTTTAACTAAATCTAAATGTTTCAACTAAGTCTTGAGGTCCTCTTTATCGTAAATTTTATTGACATCCACAATTAGCGAACACTAGTAAATTTTACATAGAAATAATAAACAAGTTCGAATATATAAAAAATACTTATAGGTACAGCTTAAGTATATTTATTCTTGTAAATCATTTATGTAATAGAAATCGATAAATATTTAACTGCTTATTTTGTTCATTAAATAATAATCACATTAAAATTTCACTCCACTTTGACATAACAAACCTGGCAGTTTTTAGAAATTATTATTTCTTGTGTTAACCCTTGAGAATATCATACAGAAAGTGAGTCGCTAATTCAAATTAGTTAAAAATTTTATTAATTCAGAATTAGAGAGTACTATAGGTATTTAATTTTTAATAAAATTTTTTTAATTTCGACACCGAACACAACAGAGAAATTGACATGACGCGAAACACAAGCAATGCTACAATTAGTTTGTGTCATTACCCGCGAATATACTTTTTATTAACAAAGATAATTTTTTTTACCATGTTAGAATTATTACAACTTTCTAAACTTAATTCATATTACTTAAAATTTAATTAATTCAACCATACTATTTTTAAATTGATTTATTTTAGTAGCATTAATGTATTGATATTGACTATATTACTGTGTTGGTGTTCCAATTACATATTTAACATTTAACCAAATTTTTAACGTCTATTTCTAATCTTTTTATAATAAATTATAAATTATTAGTAAAAAATAATAGAAAGACAAATTATTAAAAAATAAAGAAAAGTAAACGATCACTGATTATTAATATTTCTCTATTGAAAGTTCCTGTACAAGATTTAAAAAATTTTCCTGGGATATATTTAGTAGCCGAACTCCTACCAGTTCTGGTCAGTTCCTGTACAGGAAATTGTAATTGTTCTTTATATAAAAAGATCCTGCTTTGAATATGTTTTAGTTTTTCTCCGTTTTTATTTGAAAAAAAAACATTGAACCGCTTTTGTTTTCGAAGGGTAAATTGAAAGTGACTTTTCTGATATCCATATGATAATACAAAATATATTCATTTTTAATAGAATGCAAAAAAAATAGTAAATTAATATGATAGCTTTGTTTAGCATTATTTGTTATTTCTCTTTATAAGAAAAAAATAAATTGAAAAGATATATACGTATGTACTAGAGAGGATGCACTTGGATGCTGTTAACTTTCAGAGTGTATATAGAAAAATTTGTGGATCCCTTATTGTATCCCATTGCTAGTGCCGCACCTACACTATGCTCCACCCACGTATGTGAATCGAGTAATCAGAATGCCGGTTGGACGAACAGGTCCTGTTCTGGGTAAAAGAAGGGAGAAGGTTTTGGAAGTTGCAAAACCTGTATCAACCGAGACTAGACCCAAAATTTTAAAGATTGTGATACCTTAGGTATACATACCTCCAAAATACTGCCTTACCATTTACAAATCACAAAAAGCCTGACTCTCAATTTAACATTATCCTAAAAATATTGAGATGATTATATGAATTTCATCATTTTTAAAATATTTAGGCATTGACGCACTGAATTATTAAATACATTTTAACGATTTATAAACGTCACTTCTTTTATCACAAAATCAACCATATCATTTTCATTTGTAGAATAAAATGCAATTTCATTTTTTTAATTTTTCTTTTTAACTTGTAAAATAACACTTTATACAACATATTTTTCAAAGTTTAATTTGAAGTTTACTTTAAAAAAAAGGAAAATATTTTGTCTGCTCTAGAGGATCAAAGAGTAGAAATTAATTAAAAAAATTTGTTAACGTTTTATGTATAAAAAATATACTTGTTATAGTATTATTACACAATGAAAAAAAAGTTCTAGTTGAACTTATTAGATGCATCTGGTTAAAAAATTTTTAGTTATGTTAACAAACCAAAAATGGCCAATAAGACTTGACATTTAATTGACTGGTTAATTTCTGCTATGATCAACTATAGAATTAATAACAAAAAAAATGTTACTAGAAAAATTCTAGTTTAATTGACCGGAAATTTAACCAGAATTTTTCAACTTTAATTTTTAATATTTTTAACCAGAAAAAGTAATAAAGGTATATATTTAAAATTTTATTCTTGTTAGATTAACCAGTAATTTTTTTCAGTACAATTTTATTGTGAAAATTTTTTTAAAAAGTTTGAATTAATTTGGATTTACTAAGTAATTATTACTCATTTAAAATAAGTAAACTATTTTAAGCGCAACATTTCCTAAATAAATAGATTTTTGTATATATGAAATCATCTTTTGAATGCAACATAAAGCAACAGAAAATTTTCTCTTTTTAAAGAAGGTCAGGTGAAATTCTTTTGAAATTAGAAATGTGCATTAACTGAAAAGTTGTCGGGCAAATGACTTTTGCTTCTCGAAGTTATAGGCATGCGGAAAGAGTGATTTTTCTTCCGATCTAAATGTCTATTGTTCGTTGAACGGTAAAACGGAATTCCTTGAAAATGCAAAGTTAAACTCCGCAGGTAAACCTGGGGTCCCTTCATTGTTGTAAATCTCTTAAAATAACGCGTTCGACCTGTACAGCCTCTTTCTCCTGCGTTTTCCCCAACGTCAGTCAGTACTCAAGAAAGCTTTAAATTTTTGATTTCCGATAAAATCTTTGGGTCACCAGCACGAACAAGTGCCATTGTCCAAAATGACTAGAATTTTTCAAAATTACAAACACTAAAAGAAAACAATTTCATCTCTCAGAATACTAATGTTAAACACGTAACCGTTTTAATTTATATTTAAGGGAAGGAACTAGTGATGTAGTTATTTAGACGCTAAAATTAAATTTCATTGCAATACTAAACATTTGAAAGAAAAAAAAATCCAATAATGTTTAAAACATTATTTTCGTTACTTAACTATTATTAGATAATTTTTATTCGAATGAAATCGAATGAATAATTTGCATATTAACAACAAATATCATATTAATTGAATTAAATGTATTTATTTTTTTCTCTTGTTTTCAGACTGAGAAATTATAAAAATCGTAAAAAGTAGAAAAATAAGTATAGGCATTGTTCATACGTAGAGGAACATTTTTGCCTTTGAAACAATAATCTTAAAATCGTAAGAAATGCTTTTTCTTGGAATTAAAAGAGTAGATAGATAGGGTCTCCGATTGGTCAGTATATTGGGTGGAGGCCCAAAAGCGTATTGCGATGCGGCAAATTCACAATGCGGGCGCTAATGTCCGAGCCTTAAGGCTCTCGACTTTAGTGCTTTACAGCGGCCATAATTTCTTTTTGTAAAGAATCCTCAGGTAGAAGAAGGTCGAACTTCGCAAGACCAAAACGCATATATGTATGTATGTATATACACATTTACAATGGGTATTCAGTTTTTTTCAATTCTAATACTCACTTTAATTCATCGCAGCACATACAACTGTACATAAATTTTCCATTTTCAAAACCTACATAAAGAATGCGATGATATTATAAAAAATCATTTTTATGTATCAAGTCGTATTTAAAAAAAAGATTTAATTTTATTCCCTGTTTTATTGCATTTATAATGATTGAGTGTTTTTCTGCCTTAATAATTGACGATTGGATGAAAAAAGATAAAGAAATACATTCATTGTAGTGTCTACATCCCCCTCGATACCTCACACCTTCTTCTTTCTTGCATTCTCCCGGAGCGTCCGCTAAAACCTATAAAACAAAAAGAAGTAACACGCAGGTCTCAAGGATAACAGGCCGCCATGTTGCGAACAATTGACCGTTTC